TACGGCTACACGTAAGCTACTAAGAGTGCCGATTTAAAAGATAAATTTTTGTTCTTAAGTTTTGCAGAGCTTTCCGAACTGCCTAGTTGTAGGGAAAGGCTGCAAATTGCCATATGCTCCTTAGAATTATTAACGATATTAAAGTGTCTAGCGTCTGGTTTGGATGCGTCCTTGTCATTTCTTTCTACGTCGCGAAGGTGTTCTCGGAATCAGTCACCTAGTCGTCTTCCTATTTCACCAATGTATAACTTTATGCAATAGGTTCAAGTTATGCAGTAAATGACATTTGCGGAGGTGCACGTGAATTGATCCCTGGTTAGGCAGCGGTTGCTTGGAGTTTGCAACGCTTCGATCAGGCTCGCATTTTTTTCAGTCTCTGAAGACTTCAACTGTAGGTCGGCGCTATGTTAGACCTTTGTGGCGGGGTAAACTAATTTTACTCCTGAGGAAGATTTCAGAAAACAGTTTTGCAAAAGTCTTAAAATCCAAGGCGGAAATGAGAGCCAACTCTTAAATCTGTGAGTTACTTAGGTATGTAGTTTAAAGCTGTGCTTGACGGTTCGGCAAATATCACCTCAAAAATATTGTAAGTTTTTCCATGGGAGTTGTTCGGAAAACAACTGACATTGTCAGGAGTCGTCGAGTTTGTTGCCTTACTTTAAAATAACATAACCAAAAGACTTCCTCTAGAACACACAAAAAGTGCAGATATTATTTTAACGAGTTAATCTCTAAATGCTCTACAATTTCGGCTGATAAGCAAAAGAACAACTTTTAAAACACTTCGGAACACTGAATACGCGTAAGCTTGAAAGTTACAGAAACATCTGGTCGGCCAGTATTCAACCCTCATAACAGTAACAAAGCCTACATTTGGCACAGTTTGTTAAGACTTCTCAATACCAATGTACATAGTCGTGGATAACTATATAAACTTTCAACTGGTAAAACACTACAGATCACTGAAACGCGCAGGCTTGTGGTTTACAGAGACATCCGGTTAGCCTACACTCAACCTTCATAACAGTAACAAAACCTACATTTGGTTCAGTTTGTTAAGACCTTCTAATATCAATGTATAATGTCGAGAACAAATACAACGGCTATCAAATACAAACTCTGATAAAACACTACAGAACACTAAACAACCGTAAGCTTAATAGTTAGAGAAACATCTGGTTGATCAATATTCAACCTTCATAATTGTAACAAAGCGCACATTTACTTCAGTTCTGATAAAGTCCTCCGAAAAAAAACTTGTAGTACATATATTGTAAAACATAAACGTCAAGAACTCAAGCCGTGAATCTCGACCTCAGACGGCGGATAACTGACAACGAGAAGAGAAAGCCCTTCTTGCCGCTAGTCATGCCCAACAAGGGGCAAGATCCTCAGTAACGATTGTGGAGGGTCTCAATGGGGTGGTTGCTTTTACGACTAACGGATAAAATTTTAGCCATTTTACGGGCAACGGTTAATTTGAGGCTTTAGAAAATGACAGATCGCAGTTACGAAAAATTTTTATGGTTTACTTTTCTTGCGAGTAGCAGCTGAAATATGGCAATTTTTACGCTAAGGGACTAAACATGTTTTTTCGTTTTCCAGCTACCGTCGAGAATAATGGGTTATTGAGAAGCTTTCGATAATGAGTACACCTACGCCTTCAGAAGTCACTAAAACCGCGGCTTTTCTCATTCTGGTAAACGTGGTCATATCTCCGGAAAACACCTCTTCAACTGCCAAATTCCTTGCAACTAGATCGTTTCCAAGTTCATTGGTCGCTCTCCTTTCAGTTGTCGGCGTAATTATTTCAGCAACATAAGCCACAGCCTCTTTTATAGCTTGTTTCGTTAGATCCTCTGCTACATCCGCTACAGCGGGCAATGCAGTAACAGTAACAAGGCCTAAAACTCCTAAGAGTAAGTTTATTACTCCTCTCACGATATCACCGTTTTTGAAATTCTTCACCAATGCAGCGAAATCTAGTGCAGTTCGTAATCCAGAAAGCAGATGATTTGCTGCTGCTCTTAAAGCAATCCAGAAAATAAAATTTATCGTGGATGCAATCCACGAT